AAGAGTTATAGAAGTCAGCCCAGTTAATCAATGTATTGGGCCCTGTCTTGCCTATAAATGGGCCTAGTTAGATGCTATAAACGTCTCAACATGTGTTGTTGCAAAAAGGAAGATCGGAATACAAAAAGGTTACGATTTCATGTTTTATTTCACTGAATTCTTTTCACTTTTCTTTCACGAATACTATTTCGCTATCGAGCCATTGTGATTTTTGCTGATTCACACGATGCTATTCGGGTTAGAGCATAAGTGAATGATACATTTGTACATATACTCTCCCACAAATAATAATAATGAAAGTATACCGTACAGAAACTCTGACAATTACATTTTATTCCAAATTATAATAATTCTAGATTTTTCAAAACTTGCGGATACATTGCTTCTTCATCCGATACATAGCAAACGATACATAAGTTATGTATCAAATACATAACTATAAATCAGATTCATACTAATTTACGTTTGAAATAATTAAACTATATATCAATAATAACATTGTGCCAGATATATTATACACAAACAAAGTTATAATGTATCTAATATAGTTAAGAGAGGAAAGGAAAATAATGATATTTTTATAATTAATTCAAATAATAAAGATGTTTAGCGATTATGTTATCTTAAATTGTATAATTACGTAATTTTCTATTTACGTCACTATCAAGAAAGTAATAGGAAATGCATGCCGAAATTGACAATATGTTTTTTACATACAAATACCTCAAAGTTAAAGTAATTCCAATTTAGCATAAAAGGTTTTTCGTGAAATCTTCTTCAAAGATTTTTTTGTGTAAAAAGTTCTTCTTCCTTTATCAGCAATGAGCTCTTCATCATCCTTTTTCCTCACCAACCCCTTTTCATCGGTTTCGGGTTCGACCCATCTCCGCCGTTCATTCAACAATGTAAGGTATGGCGGCGGCGGCGGCGGCGTTAGAATCGCCGCTAGCCTTAACGTGGAAGTGCAGGCACCGGATTTGAGCAAAGAGGTGATGGATGAATCTAACAAGGTTTTTGTCGGTACATATGCTAGGGTTCCATTGGTTTTGTCGAGTGGCAAAGGCTGTAAATTGTATGATATTGAAGGGCGAGAGTATTTGGACTTGACCTCTGGTATTGCTGTGAATGCACTTGGACATGGTGATCCTGATTGGATTAGGGCTGTTACTCAACAAGCTAATGTCTTAACTCATGTCAGCAATCTTTACTATACTCTACCTCAGGTGAACCTTTTTTGAGCTCTTATTTTGTATCTTTTTATCATAAATTTCATTTGGAATTATTGTGCACAGGGATTTAAAAAGGGGATTTTTTAAAAAAGTTTCTTTAGTGAATACAAGTTTTTTTTTTCTCTCTTTTTTGGAAGTTTTATAGTGCATAGGGATTAAAAAAAGAGTCTTTTGCAGCTTTTTACTGGTATGTTTAGAAGGAAACAGGATGAAATAGAGTGGGATGGATATTAATGATCATGTAGACAAGCATGTGACTAATTCCACGGAATACTTGTCACCTCCCACCAGCAACAGTTATGTGTACGTCCTATGTTGCTCAGGCTCTTCAAAAATGGCGATGGGTCGTGCTGGATCCTCCAAAAGTAGTATATTTTTGAAGGATTCGACATGGGTGCGGCAACATTTTAGGAGAGCACGAGCAACATAGTGGTAATGGATAACTCAGTCCCCAAGGCTAGAACAGATGGAAAGAAATCACCTAGTGTTTTTGTCGGGATTTAAACCTAGAGACCTTGTGATGCTTAACTCACTTCATTGACCACTAGGCAACACACGTTGGTACTTGTTGTTTTGGTTTCTTAAGTAGTCAGAATGAGGACAGGGGATATTACTCAATTCTATTTAATGTTCAAATTTTCTAGTTCTTGTTAGAATGTGCATTCTTTGAATGGAAGTGTTTATGGTTCTGGGTTGAAAAGAAAAAGAAATAGCAGTATCATAGATTCATTTTGTGCAACTGAATGGTATGAAGTGGTAATTGGAACTTACTAGCAGTGTGTAAGTTTCTTTGTTTCTGGATTTTTTTGGGAGATATTGGCAAGAGGGGTCTTATTCAGGGGCGGAGCTATAGAAGAATTTACGGGTTCAGCAGAACCGAGTAGCTTTACTCAAATCCTTATACTATTTGTGTTATGAAATTCACTATATATGCGTGTAAATTTAATTTATCAAAAACCCAATGCAAGGCTGTAAGGTATATTTTTTAGAATGCAGAATCTGTGAACTCAAAATTTTGGCTTCGCCTCTGGGCTTATTTAGTAGAGTGTTCCTGAACATGTTTGTTCTTCTATGTATATAACTTGATATATCAACTTAGTTACCTTCTTAACTGTAACTTTGTATATGATTAATTACTATGGCTTCAAGGGGCATCTTTTCTCCTCCATCTGCAAAAGGATCTTTGAATATAACATAACATAGTGTTCTATTAATTCGTACAGCTGGAGCTTGCAAAACGCCTTGTTGCTAATTCTTTTGCAGACCGTGTTTTCTTGTCAAACTCTGGAACAGAAGCAAATGAAGCTGCAATTAAATTTGCAAGGAAATTTCAGAGATTTTCTCATCCCGATGAGAAGCAACCTCCTGTGGAGTTTATTGCCTTCTCCAATTGCTTCCATGGAAGGACCATGGGTGCAGTTGCCTTGACAAGCAAAGAATATTACAGGTCACCTTTTGAACCTGTAATGCCAGGAGTTACTTTCCTGGAGTATGGTAATGTTCAAGCAGCAAAAGAACTAATTCAGAGTGGTAAAATAGCTGCTGTATTTGTCGAACCAATCCAAGGTGAAGGGGGCATATATAGTGCAACACAAGAATTTTTACAAGCACTGAGGACTGCCTGTGATAGTGCAGGTTCTCTCCTTGTCTTTGATGAGGTAAGAATCTTTACAGATTACATTGCTACTACGTTAGTATGTTAAGCTTATGTCTCATCTGACATGTATAACAGACCCTAATATTGAAGAAAATTACATAAACATACAAGCAGTTACCTTGACCAATAGCGCATGTCTTTGTAAAGTAATACATTGTATTGTTTTCGTAAGGTAATTTCTCTAGGATTCATCAAAAGAAAACACATGAAACTGTTAGCTTGCATAGTGAAATGGATAGAAAAATTCAGCATTTTGCACTTGGGTCATTTGGTTGAGAAATAAGTTCTGCAGGGAGGGATTGTACTGGTTAACATTATTTCAATGATGAATAGTGGTTCGTAATTACTTCATAAGGAAAAAGCTTACTGCTCTTGTTCTTTTATATGTACTCAATTCACCATAAGCTGACAGATAGGACTAAGGTTGTTCATTCACTTAGAGCAATATATTGCCTAAGATTGGTTTATATTTTTTGTGTAGATAAATAGCTAATTGAAGAAATATGAACACCATCTACTTGTAAAAAAAAGTTTGAAATTATAAATGTGATTTCAAAGTTTAGTTTGATGATCGGCTTCTTGGGTTGTTAACACTCTCTCCGTCCAACTGTGATAATGATCATTCTGGAATTTAATTGGATGGAATGAGTCAACGCACGATACTATACTGAAGCTTTTACTTGTATTTTCTTTTATTAGGTTCAATGCGGCCTAGGAAGAACTGGTCATCTTTGGGCGCACGAAGCTTATGGCATATACCCAGATATAATGACTCTTGCAAAGCCTCTTGCAGGAGGTCTACCTATTGGGGCAGTGTTGGTAACTGAAAGAGTTGCTGCTGCCATCAATTATGGGGATCACGGTAGCACCTTTGCTGGCGGTCCTCTTGTTTGCAACGCTGCAGTTGCTGTGCTGGACAAGATCTCCGGACCAGGTTTCCTTGCCAGTGTCACAAAGAAAGGTCAAGATTTCAAGGAATTACTTGTTAAGAAACTAGGAGGGAACTCACATGTAAGAGAAGTACGAGGTGTGGGGCTTATTATTGGGATTGACCTTGATGTACCAGCATCTCCGCTGGTTGAAGCATGTCAACAATCTGGCCTTCTTGTATTGACAGCAGGGAAAGGAAATGTTGTGAGGCTTGTACCACCATTGACCATCACCGAGCAAGAATTGGACCATGCAGCTGAGATCTTATTCAATTGTTTGCCTGTACTAGATAAGACCGCCAATAACTAGGCTCAAATACTCAAGAGGGTTTTGTTGCATTTTCACTTCTATGGGGAGCTTCACAGGATCATATGCATTTGCTCATGGAGATCACTTTCATGAGAAGTAACAAAATGTAACTGTACGTACAATTTAAGGTATCGTCTTCTATGAAGCTCTTGTCGTACCTGATTGTGTCATTCTGTTGGCTGAAGATTCATTTAGGAGTAAACTGGTTTATCAGAAATACAGTTGCTCTTAGTTAGACTTTTCCTGCAGAAGTGAACAATCAGTTTTTAAGTTTTAGATGTATCGTCAATTTCCACCAGCTGAATCGAAATAATGGATGGTGTCCTCTGTATTAACATTATATCCTTCTTTCGGAAATGTATAACTTATCTATGTAATCTTGTATGATTCATAAACAGAAGTTCTTGTACTTCAAGTGAATAGTGCTGCCTCGCTTTAGTTAGGGTGAGAATACGATTTTCCATATTGAACTTCAAAAGGAAGGAGGAGAAGACAAAGCAAGTTATATTAAACTATTAAGATAAGATTATGTGCTAGTGCATAAATTTTCAAGTGAAAATGTTTCACTTAGATATACTCTGCCATGTATCTACAAGATGAGTGTTGTAGAGATGTGGATGTTAAGATGAATGTACTAAAATAGTTGCCTATGTATTGTACAAAAGGTTTTTGAACCTTTAAAAAAGAAAAGAAATAAAGATTGAAAGTTCACCTACCTATATAAAAATGAAATAAAGAGAATTGACTACTAAAATATCTTCTCATATATATCTAATTATCTGGAATCAGTCACTTTCAATTCACAAGAATACAAGTTAGTCAAAGAATGCGTGCATAGATAAGTATTTGTAACTTCATTATCTAGCTAATGAGGTTACTTAAACAAATCTAGTAGAAAATTCTACCCAAAAATATATTTCTAAGAAAAAAATAAACTTGTTACTTAGAAGGTCATGGCTCAACCATTTGAAATTCTTTTCCTGCTTCCATTTTTCCTCTTGCCCTTAACTTTTTTCCTCTTCAAAGTTTTCAGATCATCCAAAATCACACAACTTCCACCAGGACCAACACCATGGCCAGTCATAGGAAACATTTTTCATATGGGAAAAATGCCTCATATAACTCTGACAAATTTTGCAAAAATATATGGCCCCCTTATGTCCCTAAGGCTTGGAACTCAATGTCTAGTTGTTGGATCATCATCATCTGCTGCTATAGAAATCCTCAAAACCCATGATAGAATTCTGTCAGGAAGACATGTTCCAAATGCCGTGCCAGCAAAAGGATCAGATCTTGACAAGATATCAATGGGCTGGAATTCTGAATGTCACAATGAATGGAGATACTTGAGGACTTTATGCAGAACTGAGCTTTTCTCAGGCAAAGTATTGGAGTCTCAAGCTTATATGAGGGAGAAAAAAGTGATGGAATTGGTAGAATTCTTGAGGTCAAAAGAAGGTCAAGTGGTGAATATTGGAGAGCTAGTCTTTGCAACTGTTTTGAACATGTTGAGTAATGTTCTGATATCTAAAGATATGGTTAATTTGGAGAAAGAAACAGAAGATGGTGGGATTAGAAATCTAATAAGGGGATTAGTTGAAGCAGTCTCAGCTCCAAATTTATCTGATTTTTATCCAGTTTTAGGTAAATTAGATCTTCAAGGTCTGCGAAAAAGAGCTAGATATGTAATGACAAAGATTCGTTCCAACTGGGAACCGATTCTTGAAGAAAGAAGGAAAAATAAAGAGAGTGGTTCTTCTAGCCAACAAGATTTCTTGGAAGCTCTCCTTGATAATGGTCTTACCAATGATTGTATCCACCAGCTATTCGCGGTTTGTTCCCTCTCCTTCTCTCAAATTTGCTTTGTGAGATTCATTTTCTGGTATAAACCAAGTTAGTCTTTATAGCATTACCTGAAAAATGAAAATCAAAGTAATCATGTTAGTCTTTGTGCATATATGCTGTTATACAACTGATACCGATGCATTTAGCCTCTTTAGTACTTCTCTTTTTAAAGTTCATATATTCAAGAAAGTTGGAGTTCTCTATTCGGATGTAGTATATGACAAGTATTCTTCTAACCATGTGAAGGAGTTAGTCGCTGCTGGTTCAGACACCAGTACCTCAACAATTGAGTGGGCGATGGCAGAACTGATAAAAAATGTAGAGTCAATGAAGAAAGTTCAAGAGGAGCTCGAGATAGAACTCAGTGGAAGTGATTACCCAAAAGAATCTCAATTGCTGCAGATGTCCTATGTCCAAGCCTGTGTGAAGGAAACACTTAGGTTGCATCCTCCAGCACCATTTCTGCTTCCACATCGTGCTATCGAAACCTGCCAAGTGATGAGTTACACAATTCCTAAAGACGCTCAAATCTTGGTTAATATCTGGGCTATCACAAGGGATCCTTTGATATGGGAAGACCCAGAGATGTTTAGACCACAGAGGTTTCTGAGTTCTGATATGGACTTCAAAGGGAATGACTTTGAGTTCTTACCCTTCGGTGCAGGAAGGAGAATATGCCCAGGCTTGCCAATGGCTGCAATAAAAGTTCCTTTAGTCCTTGCTTCGCTTGTTCATTTCTTTGATTGGGGACTTCCTCATGGAAAACGTCCCACCGAGCTAGACATGACTGAAAAGTTTGGAGTAACACTGCAAAAGAAAGAGCCACTGCTTCTGATTCCCAAGGCCAGAAAATGACCATTGAGATATACTATCAGTATCTCTTATCTGTGTTATCCATTGTATTGTGCACTGGAATACAAGTATATTTTGTCCTGCTATATCTCGTCTAGTTACATACAGAAGTTCTTATGGTGTTAAGAGGCAAGTTATAGACCTATTAAAATAAGATCATGTGCATAATTTTGGGTCTACTCTCCTTACCCTTGATGACAATGGAACAGTATTCACAAGATGAGTATCGCAGAGATACGGATGCTAAGATGGATGTGCTAAAGTAGTGGCATAACATTTTAGGCAGAACATGTAATAGCTAGAAGGATGTCATGAGCATCACAATACCTAGATAATGATTGTCTATTTATTGTACAAGAGATGTTTGAACCTGTTAATTTTTTGAAAAAATTCAGAAAAGAAATAAAGATTGAAAGTTCACCTATATAAAAAAAGAAATGCTCCAGATGACCTACTATAGTTGTTAGTAACATTTATGTTTCATGACAAACAGAGAGAAAATTGACAACTTAAATATGAGTCCGGAGTCAAAACGGCAAAAAAATTGAGTGAAATTTCTCAAAGGACAACAAAAAATAAGTTTGAAACCAAAAGGGTAACATTTAGACGGAAGAGTGACGCTGTGAAATTTTATGGAGGAAGGGCGCTATATAAATTCTTGGCTCAAACTAAAAGACATGTCAAGTTTATAAAAATTGTCATTGTTAAGGAATGGTGCTTGTTACTCTACTTGGTACCATTATTGACTAAACATTTTAGGTATTAATTATCATGTGATAAATTAATTGTGTCTTCTCTTACGCTACTTTGGATGATAGAAAAGATCTAGTTAACCCCTAATTAATTAATTATATTATATTATATTCCTATTGTCTAAGCAAAGAAAATATCACATCTTACGTTATTGCTAGAAAAAAAATCATTGATATAATGAATTTTGCCATAAAACTATAACATATATCTCAAACTCGTTATATATATATATATATATTCCATCACAAATGAATATTTTTTTATTTTTTTTGTAGTAATTAAATAAGTCCCAATTTGTTGTTGTTGTTGTATGCAGCATTAATGTGTGTAGTAGTGATGGAGAAAGTAAAACTTATTTTTATGGTAAGGAGTAAGGCGCAGCTCTCATGCACCTTACAAGGCGCAAGCAGCGTGCGCGCCCTTCCTCCGTAAAATTTTACGGCGTCACTCTTCCATCTAAATGTTTCCCTTTTGGTTTCAAACTTATTTTTTGTTGCCCTTTTAGAAATTTTACTCAATTTTTTTGCCCCATGGCTCCGGACTCCCTTAAATATCTTCCCCTACGTCACTTTCAATTCACAATAATACAATTACAAAAGACTTGCTCCACAAAAATTATTAGTACATTTTACTACAGGGTCTAGCTTATGAGGTTACATCAATAAATCTAGTACAAAATTCTACACTAAAATATATTTGATTTGAAAGAAGAAAAAAGAACTTGTTCATTTGCAGATCATGGCTCAGCAATTTGAAATTCTGTTCCTGCTTCCACTTTTCCTCTTGCCCTTAATTTTTTTTATCTTCAAAATTTTCAAAAAATCATCCAAAATCACAAAACTTCCACCAGGACCAACACCATGGCCAGTCATAGGAAATATTTTTCAAATAGGAAAAATGCCTCACTTAACTCTAACAAACTTTGCAAAAACTTATGGCCCCCTTATATCATTAAGGCTGGGAACTCAATGTCTAGTTGTTGGATCATCACCTTCTGTTGCTATTGAAATCTTCAAAACTCATGATAGAATTCTTTCAGGGAGGCATGTTCCAAATGCTGTTCGATCAAAAGGTCAGACCTTGAAAAGACATCATTGGGCTGGAAATCTGAATGTGACAGTGGATGGAGATACTTGAGGACTTTATGCAGAACCGAGCTTTTCGCTGGCAAAGTATTGGAGTCTCAAGCATGTTTAAGGGAGAAAAAAGTGATGGAGTTGGTAGAATTCTTGAGGTCAAAAGAAGGTCAAGTGGTGAATATTGGAGAGCTAGTCTTTGCAACTGTGTTGAACATGTTGAGTAATGTTCTGATATCTAAGGATATGATTCATTTGGAGGAAGAAACAGAAGATAGTGAGATAAAAAGTCTTGTCAGGGGGATAGTGGAAGTAGGCTCTGCTCCAAATATATCTGATTTTTATCCTATTTTAGGTAAACTAGATCTTCAAGGTCTGCGAAAAAAATCTACAGATTTAGTGACAAAGTTTTGTTCCATCTGGGAACCGATTATTGAAGAGAGAAGGAACAATAGAGAAAATGATTCTTCTAGCCAACAAGATTTCTTGGAAACTCTCCTTGATAATGGCTTTACCAATGATCATATCAACCAGCTATTTATGGTTTGTTTCCTCTCCTTCTTCTCAGAATTTTATTTATAAGATTCATTTTCTGGTACAAACTAAGTTAGTATTTAGTACTTGAAAAATGAAAATCAAAGTAATCATGTTAGTCTTTGTGCATGCATTGGGCCTTTAGCACTTCTCTTTTTATACTCGAGGGAGTTCTCTATTGGGAAGTAGTATATAATAAATTTCCTTCTAACCCTGTGAAGGAGCTACTCTCTGCTGGTTCAGACACCAGTACCACAGCAATCGAGTGGGCGATGGCAGAACTGTTAAAAAATGTAGAGACAATGAAGAAAGTTCAAGAGGAGCTTGAGATAGAACTCAGTGAAAGTGATTACCTAAAAGAATCTCAAGAGCTGCAGATGTCCTATGTCCAAGCCTGTGTGAAGGAAACATTTAGGTTGCATCCTCCAGCACCATTGTTGCTTCCACATCGTGCTATCGAAACCTGCCAAGTGATGAATTACACAATTCCTAAAGACGCTCAAATCTTGGTTAACGTCTGGGCTATCACAAGGGACCCTTTCATATGGGAAGAACCAGACATGTTTAGACCACAGAGGTTTCTGAGTTCTGATATGGACTTCAAAGGGAATGACTTTGAGTTCTTACCCTTCAGTGCTGGAAGGAGAATGTGTCCAGGCATGCCAATGGCTGCAATAAAAATTCCGTCAGTCCTTGCTTCACTTGTTCATTTCTTTGATTGGGAACTTCCTCATGGAAAATGTCCTGTTGAGCTAGACATGACTGAAAAGTTTGGAGTAACACTACAAAAGAAAGAACCGCTGCTTCTGATTCCCAAGGCCAGAAAATGACCATTGGGGGAATATACCATCAGTATCTCTTATCAGTGATATACCTTGCATTGTGTGTTAGATTCAAGTATATGTTTTCCTGCTGTGTTCGTGTAGTTGTTTATAGACAAGACCATGTGCAAAATATATATAATATATTTCATTTGGGTTTTACTCTCCTTGCCCTCAAAGATACAGAGGATTCAAACATACAATATAAATGAAGGCAAAAAATTGTGACTGACATGAGAAAATTACTAAAAGAATCACTTCATTGAAAACAATATCTGGATATATCTTGCTACAATTGAATGAGAAACAATGACAAATCATTACAACCAAAGAAAGAATACATTGATGAAATTGACTGAATATACTGAACTAAGAAAGAATACCTAGATTACAAAAGAAGAATAAAGAATGAGTACAAATATGAAATCAAAGGTACCGAACAAAATGAACCCTGACCCTATGCATTTTTATCTAAAAGATTTTCTTTTCTTACCAGATTGGCAAATCTATCTGCAATAAAGAATGAAAGAATGACACTACCTACAAAGAATTTGTTAACCTTTTTTCTTGTGTACGAAAAGAACTACGGCATGTGTGTCTATGAATGAATGAAGTGTTTCGACGAAAGAACAATCAATCAACTTGGCTGATAATAAGAGGATGAACTTCCAGCAGCATCAAGGGGTGTCCACGCGGAGACTGTGCATAGAGGCTGGTCTAACCAACTCAGAGTAAGTGCAGCATCGTCGTTCCCCTGCTTTGTGACCTTGTAGTCTTCACATGAGTACATCTTCAACAGCATTTGACTCTGAAGTAGTTCCCTTTCTGTAATCCCTGTGCATCTGAAACCCCCTTGTTCCATCAACTTCCGCCATTTCCCAAAACATTCATGCCTTTCAGTCCTATCTCGTCCTTCACAAGCAATGATATTTCTAATATCCCGAGCAAACAACTCCTCTATCTTAATCCTGGCAGGACTGTCTAATGGAAGACTGAAACCAATAGAATCAAAGACAGCAGCATAGTATCTGAGTGAGTTGACAAGTCTTGCTTCCAAGCTAGGCTCGTTGTGCTCAGCTTCTTGCTCTGCCATCAGAATAATGGTGGGATTTGTGCTTCTAATCAACCCCAAAAAGTCCCTCAGGATCCCCCCAGAACTATCATATAGAAGCCTATGCATCTGTAACACACAATTCACTGCAACACTTTCCCCCTCTTTTACATGAAGCATCCATAGCCGTACATCTTCCAACCTGTCAACAACTGGATGGAACTCGAAAGCCAGATTCAACGCCTCAGCAAACTCGGCAAGTCTATCTCCTGTTTCAACAAGATCCTGCTTTGATTCTCCTATACCAGTAATTCTAACATGAGTAGGAGGGTTGGGCCTAGAAGCCAAACTCTGAAACAGGCTAGGCCACTGTATCCCTTGCTTAATGTCAAAATCAATAATGTGAACCCGGTCCTTGCCTTCAAAAGCTCTAAGCAGAATCTCATTTGATGTGAAGTGGATGAACTTTGGAATTGGACTAACCTGATTCAAAAGCCTCAATGCTGTACTGCTATCATCATCTAAACGATCAAGGTCCCGAGGGGGTATAATGTGAAAGATATGAGGCCAAATCCTTGCAACACGCAAAGCTAAAGCTTCGGTGAAGTAAGCAGTTAGCCGGCTTACTGGAGACCCTCTTGGAGAGGCAAGCTGCCCTAGCCTAGCTATCAGTTGATTAACACCAGTAACATTCCTTGAGCCAATTGCTTCAACACAACTCACAAGTAAGCTGATCAGCTCAGCTGCATCATCCTCCCTATGGTTATTATGCCCATTATGTGCTGTTACAACTTCACCCCTGTCATTTGGATT